AGAGAGAGAGAGAGAGAGAGAGAGAGAGAGAGAGAGAGAGAGAGAGAGAGAGAGAGAGTACGAGAGCGGGAATGACAAAAGAAAAAGAAAATGGACGCTGGCGAGTGGAACAGGGGGGAGAGAAGAACAGAGCAAGAGAATGGAAAATGGGCAAATAACGAGGACAGTGTCGATGGAACGCGGCTCACCAGCTGGAAGGAACGCCGAATAGTGACCCTCCAGAAGTGCCCGACAAGACAGGCCAGAAATGAAGTGAACAACAAAAGAAGGCCCGAAGTTTTTGCTGTACGAGGCCTTTGCTCTGTGCGCCCCATCCTGGTTTGTTTGTCTGCTCGCTTGCTTTCATTTCCAGCCTCGGTCTTCTTCCAACCCTCCCCCTCACCCAAACCCTCACACTGTGCACACCGCGCCCGCACCTCAAGTCAACACGTACCACCAGACCCGAGGAGGATTTTCCTCCAACGTGAAAAATGACTAAAGCCACAGAAACGTTTGTTGCGCTTTTTGCCGTGGGCGCAGTGTACTTTGCGCTTTACGCCGAGTTGATTCCCTCGGGAAAATTGGTCCATGATGAGATCTTGCCCTACTTGCCCTTCTGGGCCGTGGTGACCTTTGGTGCCTACGCGTTGGGCACCTTGGGCTGGGGCGTGCTCACTTTCAAGAACAAGGAGGGCAGCTACAAGGAGTTGATGCAGCAGATCGACGAGGCCAAGGCGTTCTACAAGGAGAAGGGCGTCGATTTGGATGCCTAAATAGCATGAGTGTTTGAATAAATAAGTACGGACGGCACGTCGCCCGGTGGTCTGTCGTGGACAGGTCTATGCTCTACCCACCGGCGGATCATTAATCTGTAGTTTCTGACCCTCAATATGTCCTGTTTCGATCAACCGGGGAATCACTCCAGGTATTCGGAGCAGCCCGCAAAAGCAGCTGTGCGGCGTGATATGCAACACCATGTTCAGGCGGAAACAGAATTCTTCTGCCTGGCCGGCTTTTTCTGCTGCGCCAAGTTTTTCTGCTTCGCCGAGTTTTTCTGCTTCGCCTTGATTTTCTTCTCCATCTCGGCAAACACCCGGATCTGCACCGGCACTTTGTCCCACGGCTCCTCGTCCCCCTTTGGATTGTTCCCTCTCGCTTGCAGCGCAAGTGATGGTGGTAGGTTTTCCGGCTTGAGTAGCTCGATCGGGGGATGGAAGTCCTCGGGCCAAACGCCGCCCTTGGCCACCAATGCGGCAGCGGCCTTTTTCCGTTGTGTGTTCCAGTCCTTCACGTCATCATTGTACATTTCCCACACACAATTGATGCATCCGCTCATACAGCAGTTGTCCGGCTCTAAGGGCCGGTGGGGCACTTTCACGCCCCCTATGACCCGCGGCTTGCCCACGTTGATCCGACTGGAGCTTTTCCTGTCCTCGCCCTTGATGCGGCCGCCAAACACCTTGGCGATTTTCGCCTCGGCGGCCTTTCTTCTTGCTTCCGAGGCATCCTCGTCACGTGCCGTTTTGGCCTCTTTGGCCAAGGCGCCATCTATGTTTTCTAGCAAAGAGACAGGCAGCGAATTGTGTTGAGGGTGTCTGTTGCTGAGCTTCACGAGGTCGTAGAACAAGTACTTCGAGCGTTCGGGTTTGGCCGAAAGGAGGCGTCTGAAAACAACCATATCTGTGTTTTTATATCGGTGTTTGTTTTTGTGTCTTGTTTTTTGTCGGTGTTTCCAAATACCGCCTAGCGTGCAAAATTCTCTTTGGAGAAAAGCGGAGCGAGTGATTCGTACCGGTCAGTGCCACATCCGTGATGTCAGCCATGCGCCGCACCTGCACACAGCGCACCCAAGGCCAGATGTGCCATGACGCAACGAGCCATTCGCTGATGCATGAAGCGCAGGTCTGGCAAAGCGTCTGAGAAGCTGGCAAAGAACTCTCATGAATAAACAGACGAAACAGGCGTGGGTCATGCGAGTGGATTGAGACTGTGCAAAAATCATGAATGTATGGACTGGAAAGTAGGGTGACCAATCAGGAATGGTCTGATCGGGGCATAGTTCTGTCGGACCATAGTAGATGACCGAGTAGTGAGTAGTGATGACACATAAGACAGATGCCCTGGCAGAGTAGATTTTCAGCTACTCAAAAATGACCAAGCTGAAAGTGGCAAGATGATGAAGATCAAGATTCTCAACTAACGAGCAGACTACATATGAAACATGTCCAGTCATATGTGCCATGATTGGGAATTTGAAGAATGACCAGGGAAATCAAGGATTGTTGAGTTTTGAAACATGCCTTTACCAACTTGAAGACTGATTACACAGAAGACTCTGCGAATATAGAATGTTGAACTGAAGAAGATACCATCCCACGTAATAATATGAATCAACCAAACGGGGATCACCAAGGAGAAGCATCAATCAAGAAGCATCCAGGAGAAGCATCATAAAGAGCGTCAATGAAGAAGCGTCAATAAAGACCATCAATAAAGAAGCATCAATGAAGAAACATCCAGGAGAAGCATCAATAAAGTAGCGTCAATGAAGAAGCGTCAATAAAGAGGCATCAATAAAGAACATCAATGAAGAAGCGTCAATAAAGAAGCGTCAAGGAAGAAGCGTCAATGAAGAACATCAATGGAAAAACATCAATGGAAGAACATCAATAAAGAAGCATCAATAAAGAAGTATCAATAAAGAAGCGTCAAGGAAAAACATCAATGAAGAAGCACCAACAAAACACGCAAGGCCGAGCCGCCGCCAGCCCAGCAGAGAAGCAGAACCGCCCCGCACTCGTATCTGGCCGGCCTCAAAAGGCAGCCTTGACCCCAAACGCGCGGATGGCCTCGTCGATACTGAGGAAAAACCCCCGGCCAAGCCCGGCAGAGACGCTCGTCTGCACGGAGTCCCCGTATGGGTTGGAGGCCTCGAACTCGTCCATGCTCTGGTTGACGATGTCCCTGATCCCCAGGCGAACGAGGCGGGACCTCACCTGCTGCTGCGTGGGCGTGCGCGCAAACGCAACGTGGATCTGGCTGACGTCCTTGTAGCGGCGCACGGCCTCGTATAGCTCCTGGGTGGCCGATGCGTCGATGGCCGACATGCCCTTGCAGTCAAAAACAATCAAGCGGGTCCCGGACGCGGCGGAGGGCTCTCTTGGCGCCTGCGACGGGTGTACCAGGAGCGTGCCGAACTTCTCCAAGCGGTGGAGGCGGTTGCGCAAGTCGCCCACGTTGGCAAAGTTCAAGGGCTCGGGCACCCGCACAATGAGCACGCCCTCGATCTGCTGGATCTCGGCGGCCACCTCCGAGAGCGTCGCCGAGTTGGCGTCGGACGCGTCGTCGTCGGACCACGCGTGGAAACTCTCCTCGATGAGGTCGTCTGCGTTGCGGAACGCCGCGGTGTTGGGCACGCGGCCCAAGATGTGGATCTGCGACCTGGTGCCGTTGCGGATCACGCGGACCACGGCGACCAGCACGCCTAGCACCACGCCCACCTCGACGTTCCAGAAGACGGTCGCACAGAACACGGCTAGCAACACGGCGATCTCGCCGAAGCCGCGGATGCGCCAGAAAAAGGCTAGGTCGTGCGGCACCTCCTCGAGCACGGTGATGCCGATGATGGTGGTGCTTAACGAAAGCACGCACTCGGGCAAGTAGTACATGAGCGGGAGAAAATAGAGGATGGCCATGAGTACCGTGAGCGCCATGACCACACTCGCCAAGGGCGTGGCGGCGCCGGCCAAGACATTGACCTTGGACCGGCCCAACGCGCCGAACGACGGGAGCCCGCCGAAAAGCGCCACGGCCAAGTTGCTGGCCCCGAGCGCGACCAACTCGCGGTTCGACGAGATGTTGTAGTTGTACCGCGCGCCCAAGGCCTTGGTGGCCGTGGTGGAGTCGAAGAAGCCGAGCAACGCGCACAAGAAGGACGTGCCGAACGCGGACTTGAGGAGCCCGAGGCTGGCGCCCGTGAACGGGTTGACGAGCACGCTGCGCGCGGCACCATGCGGGCCGGGGCTGGCGAGGCTGCCCATGACCTGGATGCCCTGCAGCTCCCAGTCAAACACGTACGAGAGCGCCGTGGCCGCCACGACCATGGCCAAGAGCTCGGGGATGTACACCGCGGCCTTGCGGCCGCGGACCTCCACCCACACGCGTTTCTGGCGCCGCACGGCAAGCACGAGCACTAGCGTGGCCACCGTCAAGCACACGGTTTTCACGTGCGCCTGCTCGCGGTGCCGCCACGCAAACGCCCACTTGGCCACGACGGAGCCGTGCGGGTGCGCGCGCGCCTCGGCCGCCAAGCCCATCTGGATGTCGAGCTGGTTGGAGATCATGATGACGCCCATGGCCCCGATGAACCCTTTCAACAACGAGCGCGAGAGCACGCTGTCCAAGAAGCCGCAGCGGAGCAAGCCCGCGGCGAGCAACACGCCGGCCATGCCCACGGAGAGCGCGGCGCTGATCTCAAGCGCGGAGAGCGCGGCAAAGCGGCCCGCCGAGTCGTGCCGGAGGCCCTCCACCACCTGCCCATACAACACGGCCGTGCTGGGCAGCGGGCCCACCACAAGCACCGGCACGCCGCCCAAGACTGCATACGTGAGCGCCGCGGCCACCACCGAGTACAAACCCACGAGCGGCGGGAGCCGCGCCAAGGACGTGGCGAGCGACATGACCAACGGGATCTGGAAGCTGGCGAGCGACACGCCCGCGAGCACGTCGCCAAGAAAATCGCCGCGTTTGTACCGCGGCGCCCACCGGAGAACGGGGACGTAATACGCCACGTAGGCCCAGCGGTCGAACGGCCGGTGGTTCTGGTTTTCCAAGTCCGGCGGCTCCAAGCCGTGGTGCTCGATATACGAGCTGGTGCGTTTGAGCGGGCGGCTGCTGGGCACGGAGACGACGGGCCGCATGGCGGGCTTGCGCGTGGCCGGCGCGAGGAGGCGGGTGTTTTCCAGCGACATGGGGAAAACAGGCCGGGGGAGGTGTGGTTTTTGTTTTTTTTTGATGTTCCTGGTTTGGTTTGGGAGAGCACGCGGCTCACGTGCCGCGCCTTATCTGGTCTGGGCGGCGCACTGGTGCCAGGCGTATGTGCAGAGCTGCAACCGGGCGGTGGGTGCGAAAAGCGGCGGAGGGGTGGTTTGGTGTTGTTGGAGTTTCCATGTGGCGGGATTTGGTGGGGATTTCCTGGTGTTGTGGGATTTAGCGTTGTGGGGTTTGGTCTGGGTTTCTGGGGGTTTGAAATTTGGTGGTCTGGGATATTTTATGTGGTGGGTTTTGGTGATCTGGGACTTGGGGGTCTAAGATTTGGCGTTGTGGGATTTGGTCTGGGTTTCTGGGGGTTTGAAATTTGGTGGTCTGGGATATTTTATGTGGTGGGTTTTGGTGATCT